GCCCCGTCCCCTGCCGCGTGCACCCCAACCCCCCCGGCCCTGCCCATCGCCGGGGGGGCTCCCTTCTGCCGGGGGGGTTATGGGGCCCCCGCACCCGGCTGCACCCCACGCCAGAGCCCCGCCGCGTCTCCCCACGAGAAGAGGGTGCCCGGGGCTGGGCAGGGTCCCCGCGGGCCCCCGGTCCCCTGCGGGGGGTGAGGTGGCCATGGGGGGAACCTGCGCCCCCCGGTCCCCCGCCGGGGGTGACAGGAGAAACGAGGCAGCGGCTGGCGCTGGCGCAGCTCCTCTGCAGCGCTCTGGGCATCCTTGGGATGAAAAAGCACCTTTTTGGGGCTGGCTGAAGCGGGTGGGATGAGCAGGAGAACTGGGACCGCGCCTCAGCACCCCTGCGCCCGCGTCTCCCGCCGCCCTGCCTGGCTCTGCGGCCGGGGGTCCTTCCCCGGGGCGCGGGGGGCCCCGTCCCACTGTCACAGCATCCCCACGAGTGGGCACGGCCGTGGGAAGCCCCTCGCCCGCTGGGCCTGAGCAGCAGCTGCTGCTTCTTCCTCCTCGTACGCCCTCATCCTCGCCAGCCGGCAGCGCGCAGGGGCTGTGACGAGGGGACAGGGAAGGGGGTGGCAGTGGGGACGTGGCCCCCAGCCACCGGTGCCAGCTGGGCCCCCTGGCCGGGGCTGCGGGGTGCTCGGGGTCCCCCCCTGCGCTGGCACGTCCCCGGTGGCGTGGAACCCCCGGGTCTGGGAGCCCCCCCGGCTTGCACTGTCCCTGGGGTGCGTCACCCCCGGGGTCCCGGTGCTCCGGTGTCCCCAGGGTCCCGCGCGCCTGCCATCTCCCGCGTCCCGCTGCTCGGGCATCCCCGGAGGCGGTGCACCCCCGGGCTCCGCTGCTCGGGCACCCCTGCAGCTCGCAGCACCCCTGGGTGCAGGCGCTTGGTCACCCCGACCTCGCAGCACCCCCAGGCCCCTGTGCTTTTGCACCCTTGGGGCTCGCAGGAGCCCTGAGCCCCGGTGATTTACCAGCCGCAGGGCTTGCAGCAGCCCCGGGGCCCGGTGCTCGGCACCCCCAGCTTGCAGCACCCCCAGCTTGCAGCATCCCTGGTGATTTACCAGGGCATCCCTGGGTCCTTGTCATTTATTTATTATTTCCAGGACTTGCAACGTCCCCGGATCCCGGTGCTGGGGCATCCTTGGAGCCTGCAGCACCCCGGGATCCCGGTGATTTATTTCCCATCCCCCGAGCTCCCAGCATTCCTGGTTCTCAGTGATTTAATTTACCATCTCGGGGCTCACAGCATCCCTAGATCCTGGTGCTGGGGCATCCTTGGAGCCTGCAGCATCCCTGGATCCCGGTGATTTCATTTCCCATCCCCACAGCTTGCAGCATCCCTGGATCCTGGTGCTCGGGCACCCCTGGGGCTTGCAGCATCCCCGGATCCCAGTGATTTATTTCCCATGCCTGAAGTTCGCAGCATCCCTGGTTCTCGGTGATTTGATTTACCATCTCGGGGCTCACAGCATTCCCGGATCCCGGTGCTGGGGCATCCTCGGAGCCTGCAGCATCCCTGGATCCCGGTGATTTATTTCCCATCCCTGGGGCTCATGGCATCCCCAATTCCTGGTAATTTAACTTCCCATCCCCACAGCTCACAGCATCCCTGGGTCCCAGTGATTTAATTTACCATCTCGGGGCTCACAGCATTCCCGGATCCCGGTGCTGGGGCATCCTCGGAGCCTGCAGCATCCTCGGATCCTGGTGATTTCATTTCCCATCCCTGCAGCTTACAGCATCCCTGGATCCCGGTGCTTGGGCATCCCCAGGGCTTGCAGCATCGCCGGTTCCCGGTGGTTTATTTCCCATCCCCGCAGCTCCCAGCATCCCCAGATCCCGGTAATTTAATTTACCATTTCGGAGCCTGCAGCATCCCTGGATCCCGGTGCTTGGGCATCCCCAGGGCTTGCAGCATCGCCGGTTCCCGGTGGTTTATTTCCCATCCCCGCAGCTCCCAGCATCCCCAGATCCCGGTAATTTAATTTACCATTTCGGAGCCTGCAGCATCCCTGGATCCCGGTGCTTGGGCATCCCCAGGGCTTGCAGCATCCCCGGTTCCCGGTGGTTTATTTCCCAGCCCCGGGGCTTGCAGCATCCCCGGTTCCCGGTGGTTTATTTCCCATCCCCGGGGCTTGCAGGCTCCGGAGTGGCCGCGCCGAGGCGCTCCCGGCCCCGGGCACCTCCTCCAGGCGCCGGGGAGGGCCGGGACGGGGAAGGCGGTGATGGGGGGCCGGATCCTGCCCGGAGCCGAGCCCAGCTTGGCCTCACCGTACCCTGCTCCATCTCCCAGCCATGTTGCGTTGCTTGCTCCAACGAGCCAGCCACCTCCCGAAATTGGAGAAGGGGGACAAGCAAAGCGATCCGGTTGCCAGCTTGAGTTTTCGAGGTGAGGGGACCCCAAATCTGGGCTGGGGTGGGCAGGATTATTGCTTTTGCAGCAACCTCCAGCAAAGCCCAGCTGCTGCGGGGCGCCCGGCCAGGACGTACGTGGCCGGGCGCCCCGCAGAAGCCGGGCTTTGCTAAGCTCCATCCTTATCCTAAATCCTTGCAAAATTCCCTGCACCCCGCTACCGAGCGCGCCGTAGGCCCCTCCATCCCCACCCTCCGCCGCATCCCCGTGCCACACGCGTGACCCTGGCGTGTCCAAGGCTCCCTGGGGCGGGCTGTGGCTTTGAGCGCTCTTCCTCCGGCGTTTTGGGGTGCGCAGGGTGGTGGGGGACAGCGGGAAACGCCGTTGCCTCGGTGGGAGCGGGGATTTTTCCCGGGCTGGGGGGATTTGGGGATGGTCATTTAGCGCTGCCACCCAGTGTCACGGCATCTAAAAGTGATGGGGGTGAGCGGGAGCTGGCTTTGCCGCAGGGTGCTGCACCCTTGGGTGCTCCCGATCGCTCTCATTAAGGTTTTTTAATTACTAATATGAGATTGAGGAGAAAAACCCCTTATCCAGAGGGTTACCCCATTGCCGGGGGCACCGGCGGATGGAGGTCCCGGGAAGGGAGCGCTGCCTTTGCACCTCGAAAGCGCTCGCTGGAGGATGTCGCTTTGTTTTTTTTCTTTTTGGCGACCGTTTCCTGGCGGTGGAAAATGTCCATTTTTAGAAAAAAAAAAAACACCCTAAGGAAAGGAAAGGGATGAGTGGCTTCTGACCCAGCCTTTCCTGCGCGGCGTGGGGGGGACGGTGCTGCCGCCCCTGCCCTGCCGCCTCCGGGACCCCTCCAGTTCATCCCGCGGCGGTGCTGGGTCTTTGCCCGGGGTGGGCTCCATCCATCCGCTGCCAAGGCGGAGAGCAGCTCTTGTCACGATCCCGAGGGCGCGGGGGGAATTCCGGGGCTCTGTGTCCCAGGAAGATGAGGCATAAGCAGGAGACGTGCCGTAAATCGGGGATATGTGAGGCCTCTCGGGCTCGGTGCTGCTCTCCAGAGGTGCCGTGTCAGGGCGATGGCAGCTCCGCCACCCTCCCGGCCCCAGCTCGGCTCTGGCGGCCACTTCAGCTCGGGGCTGGGAGACTTGGCAGATCCTCTTTAAAATCTGAAGTAGGCAAAGATGAATTTAGCCATGCTAAAACAACAAAAAAAAGGAGAATATTTTGGGTGAGCGGCTTGGGCTCCCCAGCAGTCCCGGGTGCTGTACCCGCAGCCTGGGGTGCCTATATATGCGTATAGGGCCCTGCAGGGCGCTGGGCCGCTGTCCCCTGGGGTTTGAGTCACCGCTATTGTTCGGCTCTTCCTTTTCCTCTTCCCCCGGTCCCTCCCGCGACGCGGCCCCTCGGGACCCAGCGGGCCTTGGGCCGGTGTTCGGTGTGACGTGAGGGTCGGGGTTTTGGGGTGCAGCTTTGGGGGGGTTCCTCGGGCAGGGCTGGAGCCCCCCGGCACCGGGGCTCCTTGGGATGTTGGCTTTCAGCTGCTTTTAACTGCTGCCGCCCGACTCCGCTCCCCGGGACGGCTGCAGCCCCATCCCTGAGGACCAGGTGACAGCATCTCCATCCGCATCTTTTGGGGGTGTCAGTGGGCCAACCCCCCTGTGCAAGCATCTGACCGCTCTCGTGAGGGCTCTGGGTCCCGCCTGGGACCGTACTGAGGTTCAGGTGGAGGGAGGAGGAGGTCTGGGACCCCCAGTGGCACCTTCCAGCCCAAAAACCCACCCAGCAGCCTTTGGGAGCCTCTTCTCTGCTCTGCTCGTGGGGAAACTGAGGCACGGCACATGGAGGTGACTTACTCAGGGTTTTCCAGCAAGGCTTGTGCAGGGCTGGGGCTCAAAGTGGGTCCTGGAGGCCGCCTGTGCACAGCACAGCCCAGCCTGTGTGCAAGGAGCGGGGCCTGATCCTGCTCCTGGGAGCTTCGGGTGTTGCTGGGGGCTCTCAACCCCGCCAGTGCATGGGGGGGACTGGAATTCTGGGGTCTGAGCTGTGTGCGTTGCTCCCCGCAGGCGTGAAGAAGAGGACTAAAGTCATCAAGAACAACGTGAACCCTGTATGGAACGAGGTGAGCATGTCCCCGTCCCCGCGGGGGACAGCCCGGGCACGGAGGCTGCCGTGGGACCCGGGTGCAAGCCCAGCGAGGTGCCCCAAGAACGAGGGGCTCGCGGGGGCCCGGGGGTGCCACCCCACAGAGGGTTTGGGGACGGTTCCCATCACGGGCAGCTTCGTATCTGAAATTCCTGGCATCGATGCTGGAGGAGTGGGGCTGAGCTGGCTCTGTACTGACCGGTGCTCCAGCCTCTTCCCCTTTCATTGAGATCTTATCAGGGCTAAGCACACACATTAAAAGAAGCTGTTTAAGTATATTGCAGCTCGAGAGGGAAACAAGTGTGTTTTACTCATCAGCCTGGCCCAGGGGAGGATATTTTTTCCAGCCCCTTCTTCCTTCTAACCCTGACTTGTGCTTTCATGGGTCAAAACAAAAAAAAAAAAGGGTTTTGGTGAGCAAACTAACATCGTTTTGGTACAGAAACGCCGAGTGCCAGCTCCCATCATTTTCTCCTTCACTTTTAATCCATGACGAGGGGAAGGCCTTTCCCTGGGGAATGTTTTTTCTGTGGGTGTACTGGGATGTTTCGCTCCGGGGTGCTGGTGTTTGTGCTGAGGGGCTGGGTCGGGGCTGTCAGTGCCGTGATGGCGAAGTGGGTCCGGTGCTTTGGTTTTCCTCCGAGAGCCGCCGGCGGTGCTGGAGCTGGTTGATGCTGGTGTGAGCATCATGGCCTGGCTGGACACTGATCCTGGCTCCCCTCTCCTCCCCTCCAGGGCTTCGAGTGGGACCTGAAGGGAGCTCCCCTGGACCCGGGCGCCGAGCTCACCGTTGTCGTGAAAGACCATGAGACCATGGGGAGAAACAGGTGGGAGAAGCGTGGGGTGCCAGCTGTGAGCCTCCTGCCCTGCTCCCGTCACCGGCACAGCCTGCGCACGCCCCAGGCTTTGCAGGAGGGCAGCGAGGGGATCTGGGCTCTCCCCGGGCTCCACACATTGCTCCCTGGTGCCGGCTGCCCTTTGCAGCGGGGGCGACTGGTGGGAGGCGAGAGCGGCATTTCTGGGCTCTTTCGCTCAACGGCCAGGGACAAAAACACAGCCTTTGAGGGCAGGGAGCACACAGGGACCCTTGTGCCCACCGCCACCCCCGGCTGCCGCACCAGCACGGCCGCCTGCCCCGGGAGCAACGCCGGCGCCGCGAGGCCATGGTGACGGGCACTTGGCCGGGGAGGTGTGAGACGGCGGCCAAGCTCTTTTCCCGAACACGCGTTGCCGGCGGAGCTGGGAAGGGCGGCGTTTGCAAAACAGATGAGCCGGGGTGGCTTCCTTTCTCACGGCAGCTCCTGGTGCCCCTCACTCCAGGGGCGGCAGAGGTTTCCCCGTGGGGTCGGGGTCTCCCTCCTCGCAGCGGCTGCATTAGGAAGGAGGGTGAGAGCAGATGGCGATGCCACCTCCAGCCCGGGGACACCCAGCCTGGCCACCCCTGGGAACCTGTGTCTGCGTGCGGGGCTCCTTCCGCTGGGATTGCTGCTCGCACAGGGAAAAAAATATAGGAAGTAATTTATTTTTGCTCTGGTTGGGACGGGGAGGACGGCCCTGGCATGAAGGATCCCGTTTCCAGGGCTGGAGCCGATGCTGGATTCACTCTTGGGCCGGAGGCCAAGGGAGGTGGAAATTGGGTCTGGTCCAGCTTAGTGGCGTCGAGTGTCTCTATAAATAACGCGGGGAGGATGGGAGAAGGGTCGCGGCTCCCGGTGCAGGGAGATTTCATCTGCCTGCGTGGGGAGCAGCCGCTCCGCCGCGACCCTCAGGGACCGCGATGCTCTCACGAGTGGTCCCCTCTCTGCCACGAAGGTGACGGTGGATCTTTGGCTTTTCCTTCCCTCGGGAGAAAATACTGAAATGCTGAAACAGGGCAATTACTGGTGACTGGCAATTAATGCCCTGTCTCAGCTGCTGCTGTTGTCTGAAATCACAGGACCACAGAATGGTTTGGGTTGGAAGGGATTTCAAAGATCATCTGGTTCCAACCCCCTGCCGTGGGCAGGGACACCTTCCAGCAGATCAGGCTGCTCAGAGCCCCGTCCAACCTGGCTTTGAACACTGCCAGGGATGGGGCATCCACAACTTCTCTGGGCAGCCTGGTCCAGTGTCCCACCACCCTCATCATAAAAAATGTCTTCCTTATGTCCAATCTCAGCCTACCCTCTTGTAGTTTACAACTGTTGCTCCTTGTCCTCTCACTACAGGCCCTGGTAAAAAGTCTTTTTCTGTCTTTCTTATAATCCCCCTTCATATACTGAATGGCCGCAATCAGTTCTCCCCGGAGCCTTTTCTTCTCCAGGCTGAACAACCCCAACTCTCTCGGCCTCTCTCCATAGCAGAGGGGTTCCAGCCTTCTGACCATTTCCATGGCCATTTCCACTCCAACAGGTCCACGTCTGTCTTGTGCTGCGGACCCCAGAGCTGGACGCAGGGCTCCAGGGGGTCTCAGGAATGTGGAGCAGAGTGGCAGAATCCCCTCCCTTGACCTGCTGGTGATGCAGCCCAGGATATGGTTGGCTTTCTGGGCTGCGAGTGCACATTGCCAGCTCATGTCCAATTTTTCATCCATGAATACCCCCAAGTCCTTCTCCGTGGGGCTGCTCTCAACCCATCCATCCCCCAGTCTGTACTGGTACTGGTGATTGCCCCAGCCCAGGTGCAGGACCTTGCACTTGGCCTTGTTGAATCTTGTGATGTTCACATGGGCCCACTTCTCAAGCTTGTCCAAGTCCCTCTGGATGGCATCCCGTCCCTCGAGTGAATCACCTGCACCACTCAGCTTGGTGTCATCTGCAAAGCTGCTGAGGGTGCACTCGATCCTGCTATGTCAATGATGAAGATACTAAATAGTAATGGCCCCAGTACGGACCCTTGAGGAACACCACTCGTTACTGGTTTCCACTTGGACATTGAGCTGCTGAGTGTAAGTCTTTGGACGCAGCCCCCCAGCCAATTCCGATCCATCTAACAGTCCATCCATCAAACCTATCTCTCTCCAATTTAGAATGTTGTGGGGGACCGTACCAAAGGCCTTACAGAAGTCCATGTAGATGACATCCATAGCTCTTCCCTTGTCCACTGATGCGGTCACTCCATCGTAGAAGGCCACCAGATTAGTCAGGCACAATTTTCCCGCAGTGAAGGCACGTTTGTTGTCTCTAATCGCCTTCCCTCCTGCCATATGTTTCGACATGTCTTCCGGGAGGATCTGCTCCATGATCTCATCGCGCTGTTAGGACAGCACAAAGCAGTTTCAGGGCTTTCCTGGCTCTGGGTGGGGAGGAGTTGGGCAGCAGCACTGGACCTGCTCCCCGGCCAGCCCTGGTCCATGGGGGAACCGGCACTGCTGGCTGGGGCAGGAGGTGGTACGGCGCAGGAAGGGGTTAACCAGAAGTAGAGCACTAGGGAGATGCTGAAACTCAGTAGGGGAAAATCAGTTTTATGGTGGTTTAAAATCCTCCTGGATGGTGGTGGCACTGTGTACCACCAGCCTTGGCTGCCAGCCCTGATCTCATCCACCCCCGGCCCCTTGCGTCTCTCTCTTCTCCGCTGGCAAAGAAAAACCCATCAGCGCTTCGGTTTATGGCTCCTGGTTCCTCAGCGTGGACTTCTAGGTGCTTTTCCTTGATAAAAAGGAGACAAAGTCCCCAGAGATGCTCGCCCTGGTTGGCTCACCTGGGCTGGGTCTGAGTCACCTGATGACTGTGCTCTCCTCATCCAGATTGTGCTCTGGCCTAGAAAGGTTGGAGCAGATGATCCTTGAGG